AATAAAGTAACGTCAAAATGTTGTTTAAAACATTTATGTCGTAGGGAAAAATATCCTTTTCAACTTATCGATTATAATCGATTTAAATCAATTAAATTAGTCTTCAGGATAAAATAGAAGACTGAGAAACATTTCCAAGAGTAACAATTCATTGCGATGTAACGAGCAAATTTGCCGTTACATACACACACACGCGCATGCACGGCGAGCAGCCTTTGTGTTATCGATCGCGCTAAAATATGCTCGAGATAATCAAGTTTGCATAACATTTGTTGCTTCTCCTCTCTGTGTGAGAAGTGCCACCCAAACGCAGTGCTGCAAATAACAAGTCGAGTTGCAAAAAATAGTCCAGAAAGGTACAATGCGAGAAAAGCTTATGCAAGATGTTGGTATATGTTTTACTTTGAAATGATGTCAAGACTTTTCCTATACATCCCAAGATACGCCTGTGAAGAAGTTAACTCCTAGAAGAGCTCAAAAACTCTTAATTAGTTGCGTGTAATCGCATAATGATGGTTGAAAACGTCGACATCTGGCAACTTATATTAGCATCTATCCTTTGGGTATTAAAAAGAAATAAGATACCGGACTCGTTAAAGTTGTTAAAAAGAAAAAGAAGCCAAGTTTGTGAGCGTAGATCTCGCGATACTTGAATAATAAAGCAGGCATTTAGGGAAAAAAAGCGTACAATCACACTCGTTGCACATGCTATCGGGTCAGACTGTTGTGTCGTGTGCGACGTATTACGTGTTACATGGTATGTAGATACATACGTACGTGCGTGGTACGATGACGTCACGCGTGCCGGCAAATGAAAGGAGAAGCGTGCACGCCGCACGCTCGTGCAGCGACGGCGTCACGGTCGTCACCCCACCCTATCTCGGCACTTTGTTCCCCTCCATCGTCGACCGAACAGCTCTACCCCACATCTACGAACGGGGCTAGTGATTTTACGCGACACAGCGATGCTCGAGTAACCGTGCAGTAAACACAATAGCATTTACCTCAATCGATACTACTCGATACTACCTTCTGTTATTGCATCTTGTGGCTAATCAAATGATATCGACGTGATGGTATCGGGATTCCGACGTAATTTGGATCTCGTCCGGTTTATGGAATGTTAATAATCTAACGAGCCGTGCTAAGAGTTTACTAATATCAAAGGTTTAGTCAATCGAAGCCCTCCTGTTTACAAAGCTCTTGTTTTTATCCACTCGTCTGAATGGAGGATGTGTGTCTACGAGTTAAAGCTTAAGTCGTATTTTTCTCTCACATTCAAGTTGGTAACACCAGTTTATATTCACGGGTGATAATGACGCGAACACACTCTGGCAATTACATGTAATGTTTGAAGAAAAATGATGAGGTGTCTGTGTAATTTCAACAATGGATAAACTATTCAACTATACGGCCGATTCATTACATGCCAAGTGTAACCCTTATTTACTAACGGTAACGATAGTAAAATGATTTTGACGGCGATGGGGTAGATGAAGAGTGCGGTGTTTAGTCGGCCTGTCTCGATTATGTATGCGAGACGTCGTGGGTGGGGAAGATTGTCGGCACTGCTGAGCATCTGGAATGGAGTGCGCGCGCTCCATGCAAGCGTAAAGTGGGATGGGAAAGAGTTTGCGCATACAGAAAGACGAAGACGGGAGAGGGAGAGGAAGAGGGAAAGAGAGAGGGAGACAGATCGACGGAGATAAACATAGAAGGAAGCCTTACCGCTGGTCCTCGAGGCTAACCCAAGTGGAAGCAACCAAGTGGGGAAAACAGACTCACCACTGTTATGGGTACTGACAATGTAACGGAATGCGTGAGGGAAGAGGAAAGGCCGTATCGACCAAGGATCATTTCTGTCTTTACAGAGGACGGGTCTTTTCGTCGACATGAAATCGGATTGTCTATCAAATCGGAGCTATTACCAACGCTGCTATTGTCGGCTCACTTGCTTTCGTTTGCTATCTATCTCCGCATCAATTCGACAATCTAATCGTTATCGTCGCGCGACCGATAGTAGATTCATAGTACGACGATATCGTACGTGCAAGGTCATTTGCCTCGTAAACCCAATTGATTGCGAACAAATCCATTAATCATGCCTCTCTTCGCGTTCGATCGTCGTCTAGATGTACACCAACTGTACTCGATAACCCATCTAGAGATGGTGATCGCGTGAGTCTACCGACGCGTGCCCATGCATCGCGGTCCAAAGTTTGCGATCGCCGCATGTATACAAAAAAAAAAGTGTGCATACGCAGAACCGGAGTTTTGGAGGTGAAATAAAGCGGGAGAAAGACAAAGAGGCGATGAGTCGAGCAGGAGAAAGGGAGAGAGTGCCACACGACAATGAGACGGGCGAACAAAGACGGAAACGGCCGTTCTGCTCAGGGTGGGGCGGGGAGTCGTTCGTGGGGCACAGAACAGAACGGAACAGCGCGGGCGGCGCGCGTCAGTGTGCTTGCCGAGAAGCGCGTGGGGCGTGAGGCCAAATGACGACGCGCGCGAGCCGACAGGGCCGTACTCGAGTATAGTGAGTACGTTCCGGAAGCAGCGACCATTTCGGACGTGGCGCCATCCGAAGACACCGCCGAGTGCGGACTCAAAATGCATCTTTTTTCTCCGCCCTTCTCTCCGGGAACTTGCGCGTTACTCAACATATTATATGCAGATTATTCGCTATGTCACTCTATATCACAGAGATATATAACGGCTGATTATATAAGTTTTATCTTGCGATCCTTCATCTACGCGCGTTACGTTGGCATTATCTCATTAAGAGGATTTACGCGTGACAAACGTTCCGTGCAAAGAACGCGCTAATATCAATGTCCATAAAGAAAAACCTCCACACGTTCTGTCATTTCACTTGGTACATAATTTATATTTTTCCGGTTCGCAAGTCGCACAGAATATCTTAAGAGGCTGATCATGGAAAACAAAGGATTCGCGTCGTAAAAATGTTTTTGCGAATATTTCATATCGAATATTCAATGCCAATAAATGTTCTCGGCACATTCGAATTTAATTTAAATTAATTTAAACTGTGAATGTAATGTTTATACACTCGTTTACATACCGTCTTACCTTTTTTTATTTTCATGTATTACTCAGTATTTTTAAAAAGACATGGCAGTTTTTCCAATTTATCATTGATCAAGTGTCACGATATAAAGATGATAAAAAAGGCCATTTAAGCAAACATTCTTTCACGTCATATGTTGGTGGTTTCTCTCGTGTCTTAAGTACATGCTCACTAATACCAAGAGAGAGAGAGAGGAGAGACAGAGGCAGCTGTACAGGGGTTCTCTCGCACAGCTGTAGTTTGTTCACTACCTTTCCCGCTCTATGACCAATCTCTTACTCACTTTGCTCCCTTTGCACCACCCTCGCTACCCTGGCGCGCTTTAGGGACAGCACAGCCCTTGCTCACTTCGTAACATGGGTGCACCGAGGGTTACCGATAAATGGAGTTATGCGTTTTGACCGCGAGGAGCTTAAACGAAACTTTGCTCCACAAATTTGAAATAAAACACGGATATCACTACACACATATAACGTAACGATGTATATGAAAATAAATGTGCATCGACACTAACAAAAGTATGACATACGTTAATATTTGAGCTGAAAGTTATTTTCTCAGATTGTGATTGTCAAAATGGATATCGTACAGCCGACAACATTTAATGAAATGTTATTCCCTATGTTCGTACTTTTTGTACGCAGGTTGCGACAGAATAAGTCAAGAATATGAAATTTTTGCAATATTAAAAATTCTAATCTTACCAGATTTATGCCATACAAAGCGAGAAACGATAAAATTTTAATAATGATTGTTCGATCTATGAACAATCCAATACACGTGCAGAAATGTATAACTTTTCAAGTTTTCATAATCTTCTTTCTAATGGTTTCCTTAAAAAGTGTCATACATATCACATATTTGCAAAGAGAGAATTATCTCAATGCATCGACTCTTTTAGCAGCAAGTTTTTATATTTACAGAAAACGAATCCTTTTGTATACAAACACTTAATGAATTTTTACAAGATGTATTAAATACACTTTATGCTGTTAATCGTTGGTTTATGAAGTTCGGTCGTTCAGCTCGTCCATATTCGTAAAAAGAAACGTTTTCTCGCTGCGTGCAACATCTTGTAGATTCGACAAACGTGATTTTCAGCGCAAGGTGACCGTGTAATAAGCTCTCGCGTTTACTGCTTGTCGGTTTTACGTTCAGGCTAGAACGAAGAGAGGGAGAGAGAGAGAGAGAGAGCGGAATATAGAGAAAGATGGAAAAAGCGTGCGAAGAAGCGAGGAGAAGGTTGGGAGGCGAGCGAGTTTTCTCCTCTCTTTTTCTCTTTCTCATGTCTGAGGAAGAAAGGCAGCGTGAAATACTGTGGAAGAGAGGATTCACGAGTGCTCCGCGGAGTTCTCTCTACATTAACGGCTGTGGACCATGCTCGAGGTTCGAGGAACTAGTAGGACGAGGAGAGACGACCGAGACCAAGACCAAGTCGAGGAGGGCGAAGGGGAATGAACGGCGGGCGGTGAGAGGGGCAGGGAGGGACGGTAGTAGATGCGGTATACGCTGGCACGGGTGAGACACACTTCGTCCACCGAAGTGGTATATAGGCGATAGAGAGAGGCGAAAGCGCGTCGAGAAAGGGTAGAAGCGCGCGCAGGAGAGAAGAGGCGGGAATGACGGGGGTTAGAACGGGTCAGACGTTCCATCGTTGCTCCGAGCAAGACGGGTGGTGGGTGGCAGCGCGAGCGGAAAGCAGCAGGGCTGGAGTCTGGTGGCGAGGGGAGATCGGCATCGGTGGAGCAGGTGGCGTGAGGGTGGTGGGAGGAGGATCGTGGGTGGCAGCTGAGTACGGAGTGATAGGGGAAATCAGTCGCGGTTCGAGTACCGCCGCGAATGCACGTGAGCGACGTTTGTCGTCGCGCTGTCCGCCTTTCTCTATTTCTTTCGCTTCCCCTCCTCTCTCTCTCTCTCTCTCTTTCTCTCCCCCCCTCTCCCTCGACTTGGTCTCTGTCATTCAACTCTCGCGGACGCTGCGTCTCTCTCTCTCTCCCTCTCCCCCTCCTTTCGCCACCCCTCTCTTCGCTGGTCTCTCTATTCTTTGAATATATGTTAACATAATCGCGTCTCTCATGTGCTGCCTTGGATAGCACTGACGAGCGAATGCACTGTAAGCGGAAGCAAATGAGGCCTCGAAGGACCCCGAGTCGGACGCGAGTTGACCTTTCGGGCACGAGTCGATTTGGGAGAAAAAGTTGAGCGTATGTCGATATATAGCGCAGGGTGGGGAAGCAGCTGAGAACCGATAAGAAAACCCGGTGTAAACAGAGGAGAGTGAGGCCATCTTGGAGCGAAAGGGAGACAGAACGAGTGGGAAGGGGAAACACGCGATCGCGCGAGCAGTAGCTCGACTCCCTCGCGCCAAAAGAGATTTACTCGGGGAAAGTCGTCGCGAGTAGCATTCCTGACCCGTTGAGATTTTCCTTCCGCCGATATCTTGTATATGGGCACCTTTGTCCGATCGATGCCGGTGGGCGATTCGCGACGATCGATGAGTTTCAATTCGACGTGATTGAATAAATATCGGAGCGGATCGGAGTGAGCCAAAGGTGAAAAAGAGTGGGCGGGGGAAATTGGCGCCAGGAGCAACGATATCGGTATCGGACGGTGAGAAAAGAAGAGCGAAGAAGGACGACGAAGGCCAACGGAATGCTCGACTTGGAACAACAGGCCAATCAGACACAGGCATTGGCCTCGCTCGATGACGACTGGCACCTGCTCGAGGGTGAGCGCACGACCTTCGCAATTTTCTTTCTCCCTTTTCTACGCCTTTCTCGAAAGGTGCACAGAGATCGGCGAGTCGTCACACCGCACAAAATTTAAATCCAGCACGGACAAAGCGGCCGATTGTTCTTGAGAACGATATACACGGTTCCTTACTTTCGAGTGACACGTTCCAACAGATTGTGCCGCATTAATCTGCACCAATTCGCGCAACACTGAAAACCAACTATATGCGCCATGGGATTTTTTTTTATTCCGAACGACACGCATACGCGCGTGCGTACATACAAATGCACATTAGAAACTAACTAGGAGTCAAATATGCGAGTTACATCTTACTAAATTACATATTTCACCTATCTAGTCAATTTATGTAATATATAACGTAATACCATTCGCCAATTCACGATTGCACTTGTGCTTTTTAAATAAAATCCACATATCTTTTTTGCAACTTGTTGCTAATTTAATCGACTTGTTAATATCGCGTTGTTTAAAAGGAAGCGACTCCTGACTGACATCATCATTTTTTTAATTGACGGACGCGTACGAACACACGGTGACGCAGTAGAGTAGATCGGAATTCATATTCGCGAGAACTAAACATTATTCGGAGGCGATGTGCGACGAAAAACTGATTTATTGTGGTGGCTAATGCGCATTAATAACGTCAAAAACAAGATGTATGACGTGAATAAATAGACTCGCTCGCTCAACGGAACGAGTGACAGCACAACAAAATCATTTCTAATGCAAGGTCGTTGATTAATTCCATATTTTATGCCTTTGCCTAGTATCATGGGAAAATTGAAATACTCTCGCGATTCACTCGTTATATATTTTCTCAAAAGAATTTTTATTATCCACGCTGCACATTGCAATTTTATTTATATACAGAGGAAAGTCCTCTAATGTGAGACAGGTTTTCTAATACGAGGTAGCAGGTTTTCAACACCCAAATTCAATCACAAGTTTTTTTTCTCGCAACAATTACACGATCTAACAATTTAATGAATTTTCCACTAAATAGATTTCGCTCTAAGGGCGATAAATCTATGGTGGAGTCAACCGATGATGCCAATTAATTTAACAGAAATCCCGCTATCCCATATTAACATCTTATTTCATAATAGGGGACTTTCCTCCATTTCTGGTTTGCATTTCATTACAAAACGATATACTACGCATTCTCCGTGCTATTGATATAACTTAGTTAAACCAAGAGAGATACCTAGCTCCTAGGGGAAGAGCGGACCCCTCGTTGAGTTAGATTTAAACTTATTCTCGACCGAGTTACACATGACAGTGGCGCACGGTTGCAACTGCGAGATTGCCTCGTGCTTGCACTCCAGAGTTCGTCTTTTCCTTTCGAAGTATGTCCAGCATTCGCATCTGGATTGTGCCTTTACAGCCGCGTTATCGTGATTACGTCTTTATTCGCGAATACTACGAAAAACAAGAGTTCTGTCACGATGGTTAAATAAATACTGCTTAGGCCATAATCAGTACGACGTTATTCTTTTACGACGCTTGCTGTTTTCGTTGAGAGACGCCGCGTTTCAGATGGATTAGGGCTGTAAAGTTTCACAAAGTACGTAACGCTTGGCGGAATAATTGCATCGTGAATTTGTTAACTGTATATAATCTGCCGCGCTTTTAACTCTCCGGCAGCGCAAGTACCTACACTCCCCCCCATATCAATGCCATGTTTAATCTCCTTTCGTTCGCGCGCGTACGTATAATTAAAATTTTCTGAAAATATATGTAAAGTAAGATGATTGTTTCAGTAATTCACAAATATAAATTTTTTTCGTTGCAATCACTCTTACATATATTTTTGCTGATTTAACTCGCAATATTTTTATCGGGAGAAAATTAATCGTGCAACAGATGGAGAAGAAGAAAAAGTTAACTATTGCACTGTGTTATGTACAAACATCAATTTACACGCTCGTAAACGTTGGTAAATGCTTATTCGGTAATATTTCCTGATTCTACGTACGTATTTTAGCGTTATCGATTTAGTGGCGATCAAAATGGGTCATTTTACCTCAACCGAGGCGCATTGTCGCGCGCGATCAATATAGCTTTAAGCATTTTTATCAGTATTTTCATCGTCATCTTGGCAAAAACTTGAATAGCGACGCTAGTTCACTTCCCATTTTGTCCCATTGTTATATTCGCCTAAAACTCGACGTTACAAAGGAAAATTTTTTTACAATCTTTTGTTAAAAATTGTTTTTTCTCATCACATCCTACACCATAGACCTCATTAATATGTCGCTAGATAGGTTTTTTTTTCTTTTAAATAGCGCGCACACACGGACGTGAGAATAGTGAGGCGAAATTTACGTTTGAGCATTGAACTGAAATTGTACTTCGGTAACCATGAACGCTCTGCCTGGAGATCTAAAAATAACTACCTAAGCTTAACGAACCCATTATTTATTTTTAGCGCGTTGAATGAAGATACCATAGAGAAGTGATATTGATACACACTACCATGACGTTAGCTTTGAGCATTCAAGTACCGATAATCACTCGATTTAGCTGATACACAAGTTACATAATTGAAAAAAGAGGCTCTTAGCAATTATCTCGATTTTGATGGTTAGCGCACAATCTACATTGCGTGATGACATTCTGGTAGATATTAGCACGAGTCATTGTGTCACGAATGTAAAATATTAAAAGGATTGTATTAAGAAGAAAGGAGGATTGTGCACTTAGAAAATTGCAACGATCGCGCCCACTCGAGAGGACCGACAGAGTGATAATAATAATCGTCGAGAAAGTCTCGCGCGCATGAGTACAATTCTTTTGTCTGAAGAGCGATGTATGCGAATATCTCTTTCTTTCTCTCGTTCGCTCTCGCTCACTCACTCACTTTCGTCGTCGTTGACTCGTGCACGTGGCACACGTCTGTTATTCTCGTTGCGAGCGCGCGCGACACGTCGGTCGGTGCGCACATTGCGCCACGGACACCACGATTCACACCTGTCTGTCCGTCCGTTCATTCGTTGGTTCATCCGGGGCAGCACGGCGAAGCATAAATGTCCGCAAGAAGAACGATATCGTGGTGTTTGGCTTGGACCACCTGGCCGACAGAACCGCCCGTCCGGCAGGGCCGTATCCAATCCTTTACGGCTCTCTTAGATCGGATTTACAGGAGGCGAGCACAGGAAGCGTGGTCAAATAGCAAGTTACCTGGTTACCTTCCTCAAAGAAGACCAGCGTGAGAGTCCGGCGTAACTGTTATGGCAATTGCCGATAAATACACAGCTTACTTTTCTTGAAACAAGTAAGCTCGTGATATTTGAGTCGATTACCCGCTCATTAGTTATCTGAGCCGTTTAGTTGAAATGAACCTTGGCTCTCTTGGAATCTCGACCTTACTTTAATTATGAGATTGAAACTGTTGACGAGGCTTTTCGCATTTTCGCTCGCGGCGTCATTACCTGTGCGTCAATCACTTTGTTTCCTCCAATTGCTTGCTAGAATCGCCATGGGGAAATGGCGCGCTCGTTCGTGCATGTGTGTATAAAATGCTTGTACGTGCGTACAAAATGAAACACATACAGGAGATATTATATGCCATGATTACGTTTGTTACACAATATCGTTAAACAATAGCAACTGGAATCTACAATATATTTCATCAAATGTATTGTAAGAGAAAAATAATGTTGTTTCAAAAATTTTAGAGTCTATACATTATGTTATTGCCATTTCTATTTTTTACTTTGATTTCATATACACACATGCCTTTAATTATTTTCCAGCGTGTGGAAAATAATGTGATATCGTTCTTCATCGGGTGTAATAAAATCGTTATTAATCCGCCCAGGATAATCCGCGGTTTATAAAATTACGTTTGAGATAATAGGTCATACGCAAACCAGTGAAAATATGAATAATTACAAGTTATGTTTGTCAATACACATGGTTGCGATTGTAATTATGGGAAATGGCGGATTATTATTGACCCTCCGAAATAACGTGGATATCATTTGCCACACGAGCAATTTTAAAACAGTGCTTTCGTCGCGCATATTTCGCGTCGCTTGACAAAAGCAAAATTGCTTCTCGTAGCGTTTCGACGAAAAGGTAAGAGGATTCTACAAAAATATCGCTGCGTATTTTTCACTCGCAGCTTCATTCGGTGGAAAACGTTAGAAATTTACCTTCTGTAATGTGTAATGGAATTAAAACCTATCTTTTTCTCCCAATCTTACAACGCGAACGTGACGAGGTTGATGAAGTAGCTTTACATGATTCGCACAAAGCCGCCAGTTTCTCTGGCAATTTCATCTCTTCGAACGCAACGTTGAATATCTACTGACATAAGTCACATATTCATTTCGAGTTAGTCAAAAACGGATGAGAAGTGATATCTCTCTGTGAATCTTGTATTTAACAAATAAATAAAAGAACGGACGCGTTAAGGAAGACTCCTGCTTACGAACAAGCCAAGTAATTGTAATAAAGTTTATCCTGTGCAGATATAAATATCCGTGTAACATGGGAGAGAAACCAGCCACACACAGAGCCTCGCAGAGAATGCACTGTGCTACGTATAGGTATATGGCTGATGCGCGTATCGATTTTGGCCAGACTGCATTACTATTGCATCGCGTCAAATTATACGGGCAAGAAATACACTATTAAATTTAACAACAAATTTTATCCAACGCTAAAACCGCTCGTTGTTAATATCAACGTACAAATTCGACCAATAAAATTGATCTATACTCTTCATCACAGAATCTTGATTATCAGTCTGTGCCATGACTATCATCTCGATGGTTGTCTAACAAACTCGTTCAAAAATTTAACAACACGAGAGTACATGTAGAGCAAAGTCCCCTATTATGAGTCAAGTCCCCTAATATGAGATAGCGGAGTTTCTGTTAAATTGACAAGCATCATTTATTGCTTTCATCATGAATTTATTGCTCTTGAAGTGAAATCTCTTTAGTGGAAAATTCATCGTTACGTCGT